CTTTTCTTTTCTTTTCTTTTCTTTTCTTTTCTTTTCTTTTCTTTTCTTTTAATCTAGATTATATTTTTCTTTTCATTTCATCCTTATTATTTAGTTCGTTTTTAATCTTTCTCATTTCCTTTCCTTCTCTCCTAATTATCCTAATTACCTTCAACAAAGGGAGATTACATTCACCTGTCACTATAGTTTATTTTCATTGACAAATAAAGACGGTGTCCTCTTGCGTAATCGATGACCTCAAGAAAATGTTTTCAAAATTACATTTATTTGCAGAAAATCCAAGGCAGATGAAAAAGGGTATATCTCTGCCAAAAAAGGAAAGAAAAAAAAAGGAAAAAATTGAAAGAAAGAAAGAAAGAAAAAGCCAGCCTCATCATGAAACTGTCAGGTTTTGTAAACGAAGCAGAGAAATACTTGCTGATAAAATCTACTCACKGAGCACAAATTATTCAAAGTTCTATTTCAACAATAATTTTTTTTCTCTCATTTATATTTCTTAAATCAAAAACCTTAAAATTTCTGAAGGCCAGTCCAGTTATATTAATATTTTTTCTCATAATAGAGAATATAAAAACATTTTCATGTTTACCCTTCCTGGAATTTAACACTTGGTAGATTAAAGCCTCCTTTAAAACAAGGAAAAACAAGAATTTGGGCAATAATTGAAGCATAAATTAGCTTAAGTTTCTTAGTATTTTCATCCATTCTCACCTGTWAGTAGGTCGGTCACAGCTAAGTTTAGGATCAAAATATTATACTGCTTTGTAAGGAGTCGTTTTTTTCGTAGAATGACAACACAAATCAAAAAATTACCAACAAATGCAAGTACTGAAATGATACCAAAGAAGACATGGGCCAAAAAACCGTATTTCTCCTCCGCCATTGGGTCGTCGTTGCTCAAAACACTAGTTTTTTCACTGCTTAAATTTCCACTCGTGTTTAAAGTTTTAAAATTTTCAAAACTCATTTTGAACTGTCATTCAACTTCCTCAAGACTAGGATGTAAATGGTCGTAGCGAATAGGGAGTTAAATTTCCCCTAGTGTTTAGCAAAATCTGTGGTTGGTTGAATGACATCCTATTTGTTGAGCACTCGAATGGCTTTGTACACGTCAGGAAGGTCGCTTTCTGATTGGTTCAAATCACCTTGTAATAATGCTTTGATGGGTTGCATCCTGAGGTGATTTTACTCAAATACAAAAATATTTGAAATTTAAAAAACTGGAAAAAATAAAGAATTAAAAAAAGCAACTTAGACAACAGATAGTATCTAGGCTTCGAGTGGTCATGATAAGGACTAAAGAATAAGAATATTGAAAATATTAATAATATTACAAAAAGTAACMAAAAATCTTTTTTCAATCGAAGCAATAAGAAGAAGCTCAAGAGAAGGACTCATGAAAAGAAAGGAGCTCGACGTATAARCCAACGTCAACTAGTTGAAACATTCATGTCAGCACTTTTCTCAACAAGTCAAAATCATCCGTCAAAAGTCGTATGCCAGTTGGTAATTAAGCTTATAGTTTCTTGGTAATATAGTCCAGCATATTGTTTTGCAGTCGTTCTTATGTCTCAATTGTTATTGTGTATTCGRATTTACAAAGGCGCCGATTTAGGAACTGTATTTTGACTTGCATTGAGTTCCGGAAGGACAGCTAAGGCATCGAATGGCTGTCAAAAGTATCGAGTTCACTTGCTTTCCTYATAACTCTTAATCAGTTTTCATTTCTTTGTCTTTTTTCCCGATTCGTTTTTAGATATTATTTCTTAGAGGTTTAGTCAATTCTCAATGCTTTTTTTTCCTCCGAGAAAAACTTWAGTTTTTTGTAGTAAAACTTCATTTTTAGTTTGGTTTAAGATTTTTTTATTTTTTGTTTATCCAATGAAGTCGACTTATCCGCCATCCAAAGCTATCRAATTCCTACCAAAAATAAATATCAAAAAACACACCAACAGATTCTAAAAATAGTTTGATATAAATCAAATACATATATGTATTTTAGTTTCACAATTCATAATTCTATTCTATGGCCAATTTCATTCGGGATTTTTCTATTATAGATTCTACCAAAAATATTCTTATTCTCTACTTTATATTCTTCAGAATCCTTTCAAAGATAACAGAAACATAAGTTCAAACAAACTCTGTGCTTCCCACATCAAAATCGACCGCTTCCTTTCAAACAACTAGTATGTATTAATTCTCTTCATAGAATAAAAGCTTGATCGATGGTTTAATTAAATCGTAAGGTCAAAAGTGACAGTCGTTTTTGAACCGTGTTTATTGAGAGGTACGGATAAACAGGATGAAATGATGCTTTCTTTGCGCTTTAATATTTCGTTACGAGGTTAATTGGGACGCTGGAAACAATATCTTAATCGTGCTTTTTCGCTTGGATTTCTTTTTTTCCTCCAGAGTCATCTTGTCATTGTTTTT